CTCCCTGCCTCCTACCTCTCATGCCTCCAACCAGCAAACCGTTACCTGTAGAAACCTCCACCACCTCAGCCCTGACCTTCTTCACTCTATTACTGAGTGCCTCTATGATAAAATTTTTAACCCATGTACTGGCCACATCTGCCTACAACAACTATCTATCATCCTCCCTGGATGCTCTTGCTCCTCTTTCTACACGCAGAACCAGGCCTCCCCTGTCACAACCCTGGCAAACAGATGACACCAGAAGTCTCAAGAGACACAGCCCCACTCTTGAGCAAGTATGGCGTAAAACTAAATCCCTGAAAGACTTTACCCTCTACAAATCTGCTCTTCTCAAATACAACTCCAGCCTCCATGCTGCTAAGCAAACCTACTACAACACTCTCAAGACCCTCTCATCCAATCCTCATCAACTCTTCTCTACCCTTAATTCCTTACTCCACCCCCCACTGCCTCCACCCACCACAACTTACTTATTGCACAGGAGATTGCCAGTCATTTCAAGAAGAGAAATAGGAGAAATAGAAGACTCAGTTATTAGCTGAAGGCAGGATAGGCTTTCCTGAAGAGATAGGTTTTCAGAGATCGCCTAAAAGTGAGAAGAGTAGGCGATAGTCTGATAAATTGGGGTAGAGAATTCCAGAGGATGGGGAAAGCTCTGGAGAAGTCCTAGAGATAAGCATGGGAGGAGGAGACAAGGGAGCTAGAGAGCAGGAGGTGGTGCGAGGAGCGGAGAGGACGGTTTGGGTGATATTTGGAGACAAGATTGTTGATGTAATTTTGGGTGGAGTTATAAATGGCTTTATATGTTATTTTTTGTAATGTTTTGAATTTTATCCGTTGGGTAATGGGAAGCCAGTGGAGGGATTGGCAGAAAGGGGTGGCAGATATAGAATGGTTAGTAAGGTGGATGAGTCTGGCAGCAGCATTCATGTTAGACTAAAGAAGGGATAGCCTGCAATTAGGTAGGCCAATGAGGAGGGACTTACAATAGTCAAGGTGAGAGATAACCAGGGAGCAAATAAGTTGCTTAGTAGTTTCAGAGGTTGAGTACGGGCGTATCTTGGAGATGTTGCAGAGGTGAAGGCTACAAGATTTGGACAGCGATTGGATTTGGGGCTGAAAGGACAGATGGGAGTCTAGGATTTCACCTAGTACCTTGGCATGAGGGGAGGGACTAATGGTCGTATTATTGATCTTGATGGAGAAGTCAGGGGAGGGGGCACGGGCTGGAGTGAATAGGATGAGCTCAGCTTTAGAAAGATTTAGAGGAAGTGGAGTGACATCCATGCTGATATGTCACTTAGTATGTTAGTAATGCAAGAGGAGACTGAAGACATTTTAGTAGGGCAGTTTTCAGTGGAGTGTAGTGAGCGAAAGCCAGACTGTAAAGGGTCAAGAAGGTTGTTGTCAGCGATGTGGGAGTTGAGGCGATTGTAGACTAAGCGTTCTAAGAGTTCAGAGGTAAACGGGAGCAGGGAGATGGGTCTTAAGTTGTTCGGGTTGTTGGGGTCCTGGGAGGGCTTTTTAAGTATGAGAGTGATGTGTGCATGCTTTAGATGGGTAAGAAAGGCACCATTAGAGAGGGAGAGATTGAAGATGTAAGTGAGGGAGCATAGGAAAGAAGAAGAAGCTGACCGTAGTAGTTGAGAGGGGACAGAATCCAGGGGACAGGTTGTGAGATGGGCTTCTGAGTAAACTTTAGTGACCTCTTAAGTAGTAGCAAGGTCAAAAGAGGAAAGTGTTGAGGGAGGTTTAGTATAAGGTATGCTAAGTGGGATGGATGTCTGTGCAGTGGCGATGCCCCTACGAATTGCATCAATCTTGTTTTTGAAATGATTTGCAATCTCGTAAGCAATGAGTGAGTTACTGGGTGGAGGTGGAGAAAGTAGAGAGTTAAAAGTAGAGAAGAAATGATGAGGACTGAATGACAAGGTATTAATAAAAGTAACAAAGTAGGTTTTTTTTGGCAGCATGGAGGGAGGAATTGTATGTTAAGAAAGAAATGCCCGCAGCGATAAAAGAAGAAAAGAATTAGCGAAGGGCAGGCATGACTAGGCCCAGAGTGGGAAGGAAGACGTGTGAGGGTTAATGATTGTTTAGAGTTGGTAAAGGATAGCTGGGGGATCTGGTTGGTAGAGGAGAGTGTAGGTGGGGTCTCCTGCACTTTAGGGTGGGGTGTTCTGGGGAGAGGCGTCAGTTGGGAGCTGGACGTGGGAGAGAGAGCTTCCCTCCCGCCCGCCCTGTTTGGTGAATGTTGTGTTCCTCCTGGGGGGGGGGTTATTTGGTTCCTGGGCGGTGGTTGGTCTTTGGAGGCGGTTCTTATCTTGGAGGTACAAAATGGTGTGGGACCCATCGTTGGTATGGTGTGCCCGGGAACATTCCCAGTTAACCGAGGTTTAACTGGAAGGTGGTGGTGCTGCACTGCGGACGGTATGGTTGTCTCCGAGCTGGTTGGTTTCGGCTGGAGGCCTAGTGGAATATGGTTGTCCGCAGGTGCATTTTGGATCGTTTTGGGGGTGCCTTCAAAGACCAATGACAACTCTTTATGTTTCTGTTATAAGGAATGGTTGATGTGTTTAAACTTGATTTGTTAATAAAAGGCCGTGCTGGCCATTTTACTCCAAAATTGGTGTTGTGTTTTTTTCTGTAAGTATAGTAAGTAAAGGGGATTGGTATGGAAGGGTAAAGGGTAACGGTGGTGTAGTGGGGTCTGGATGAACCTATCTCGGGTTGTACTAGTCAAGCAGATTTATATCGGGTGAATGCTTTCTGAGATTTGGTTTTACACCATAATCGCTCCAGTGCACGGTTATGTCTCTTAAGATTTATGGTGTCGTCAGTCTGTCAAGGTTGTAATGGTCGGGGCTGATGCTTTGTTTTGTTAGAGGAGCAAGTGAGTCTAGTGTGGATGAAAGTGAACTTTTGCAGACAGCAATGGCCAGGACAGGGGAGAGATTCTGTCATAGAGGCGGTCAGTTGCAGAGTGGAAAAGAGAAGGGTTAAAGTTGTGAAGGTTTCTGCGGGTAATTGTTTGCTGCTTGGAGGGATAGGTGTTTGAAGACGAGGGCATTATGAAGGTCATGAGATTGTGATCAGAGAGAGGAAAGGGAGTGTTTGTGAGGTTGTAGGGAGTGCAAAGATAGGAGAAAACAAGGTCTAATGTATTCCTGTCAGAGTGAGTGGAGGACCGTGTCCATTGTGTTAAGGCAAAAGATGAGGTTAGGTTGAAGAGAGGGATATAGCCGGGTTGTTCACATTAATGGGGATGTTAAAATCTCCAAGAATGATAGTGGGTATTTCAGAGGAAAGAAAGTAGGGCAGCCAGGCGGAGAAATCATCAAGAGGAACACCGGTCCAGGAGGCAGGTAGACCACTGCAATCCTCAAAAAAATGGGAGAAAACATCAAAATTCAGTGAGTCTCGAAAGAAGAGATGGATAGAGAGGGATAGATACAATTAGAAACTATGGTTTTGAAATGACAGAGCTCAGTTCTTTTAGGACCCATGGGTGTTCAGGTCCAGGCACTTTATTCACCTTTATTCTGCCTAAATATTTCTGGATCATATCAATTGTGTGCCAATGTGGATCATCTGGGGCTGTGTCAGTACCACGCCCATTATGGACAAGAGCTCCCCCATTCTGCTTTGTATACACAGAGCTGAAGAAGGGATTTAATAAATTTGCCTTCTCTTTGTCCCCAGTCACCCCCTCTAGATTATTTTGTAAAGGGCCTACATGCTCGGACCGGACCTTTTTACTATTAATATATTATAAGAATTTGTGGAGGGTTGTCCTTCTATCTTTTGCAATCTGTTCATTTTCAATTTTTGCGGTCTTCATTTCCTTTTTGCATTGTGTTATATTCTTTGTAATGTTTAAACAAAGATCGCGTTCCTTCATTTTTATATTTAATAAAAGCTCTTTTCTTATTATCTATAGCTTTTTAACTTTGGCCATAAGCCACATAGGTTTGATTTTTAGCCTTTTAAACTTGTTGCCCACGGGAATATATTTTGCAGTGTGTTCACATACAGTCCTTTTGAAGAACTCCCATTTCTGGGGTTTGTTCATCGATGCCAATATTCTCACCTAGTCTTGGAGAGCAGCTCTCAACCTTGGAAAATTAGCTCTCTTAAAGATGAGCTTTTTATTTTTCCCATATGTGCTTGTTGTTTACAGCTAACAATAAATTAAATCATGTTATGGTCACTGCTACCCAGATGTTCTTTTATATGGTCATTTGTAATAAGCTCTGCATGGTTTGAGATTATCAGGTCCAGCAGAGCATCATTCCTAGTTGGGGCCTCTATGACTATGAACTGTACCATAATTGTGCTGTAGTAGGTTTATACATTTCTGCTCTTTAACTGTTTCGGCAGTACCATTACTCCAGTCAATTTCCGGTTAGTTAAAATCATACATGCATACAAGCATGCGGGGGGCCATACAAACTACTGAGTACTATTTTATTTGAGTTGCTGCAATAAAATTTCAGCAAAATGGACTGGCCTGCTGCATTATTTTTTCCCTTTGATTTTTGGGGTGTCTCTAAATTCAGTCCTCTGTAGGTTGATAACTTTCATTTCCACCTCCTCTGAAAGAGAACCTAGCCAGGAATATTAATGGTCCAGTCATGTGAAGAATGAAGCCAAGATTCAGCAATACCAATTAAATCATAGTTTTCTTCATGCACCAAAGCTTCCAACTCACCTATTTTGCTTGGCAGACTTCTGGCATTGGTGAACAAACACTTTAATCCATTGCCACCTTGTACACACGTACTTTGCATACAAATGGTACCAATTCACTGGTTGTTTGTAACATGGGAACCTTCTTATCATATGCCATAGCCCTCCCCCCATCTTTCCCCATTCCACCCACCAATAAGTACTGACCCCTGTCTGATCTGTCTACCCCATTATAGTATAATTCTCCCTCCCCCCTCGAATCTAGTTTAACCCCCCTGGCGGTATTCCCGAGTGTAGCTCGGGGTAAAATTTCAGTACCAAAAGCTGTAACCCCGAACTACACTCGGGAATACCCTTCAGATTTGCTCCGGGATCCCTCCTGCACTTACCTTGTCCTTCGCTCCCGCGATGTCCCCCCTGCAGTGTTCCTGGCCATCTCCTCTGGCTGATGCTGGCATCTGTCTTCCGAGTTCTGTTCCCCTGCAACGTCGGGACGTACAGGGGACGGAACTGGCGGGAAATTCAAAAATGTTAAAAAGTAACATTCACTAAATACACTAATATCACGTAGTATAACATTCCTGTATCAAACCATTTCACATACATTTTGTCCCGAGTGCTTTGTCCGGCGCCCTGCCTGCATTTTTACTGTTCTTTCTGCCTGGAAACTGAGAAACGTCCATGGCGTCCAAAAAGCATCCCTTTAGGTCAAAATCGGTTTTTAGACCGGCTAGAGAACAGCGATAGTAAATTAGAACCACTTGCAGAATTGAGTGATAATGATTCGTGGGGGAAATTCCTCATCAGACACTGAAAACGATTCTGCGACTGAGCTCAGCGATGTGCGAACTTGGCGCTATATTTCACATTTCAGTGTTTTTTTGGTTTGATTACATTATTGCATTACATTTATTATTATTATATAATTATTTTTTATAAGTATTTATTAAATTAGAATTTATGATTTCGTGTTTCAAATGTTATCATACCCGGGATGTTTACTAGACTCTTGTTCAGACAGATTTCAGTGAGTTATTCCTACAAATTACAGGCCTACAATAAAAAACCAACATATTTCCATGCAAAAAAATGTACCGAATTGAGCACAGAAATATGGACATAATCAGACCACTAGGGAGGTTAAATACTCCTCCAGCCTCACCGTAAACCTCTCCCCCAGCACAGCAGACCTCTTTCCATTTAGGTGCAAACCATCTTTAGCATATTGGTTGCACCCCAATGAAAAGTCAGCCCAGTGCTATAGAAACCCAAATCCTTCCGTCTTATACCAGGTCTTCAGCCATGCATTTAGTTCTGTAATCTCCACCCGTCTTTCCTCAGTTACGCATGGCACAGGTAATATTTCAGAGAATATCACCTTGGAGGTCCTTCCCTTCAACTTGCAGCCTAGCTCTTTAAATTAATTCTTAAGGATCCTCCACCTTCCATGTATTCTGTCATTGGTTCCAACATGGACCAAGACAGCTGGGTCATGCCCAGCTCCTCTAAGTAACTTTTCACTCCGGGCCACCACATGCCGAATCCTGGCACCAGGGAGACAGCAGACCAATCGGTTGAGGCAATCCTGCTGACAAATTATTCTATAAGTCCTTTTGATTATCGAATCCCCTATTACCACCAACCAGAGGCGTCCCTAGGGTTGGTGTCATCCGGTGCGATAACACTTGGTGATACCCCCTCCGACGATCCCCGCAGAATGGATCGGATCTGCGGATTGAGCATAATGGATCGGACTCAGATCCATTATGCTCAATCTGCAGATCTGATACATCCTGCTGAGATCGTTGGCTTTCTTTACAACTTACCTTTTCTTGGAGCGGGTCCAGTGTCACCCTGTATAGACTGCATGCTGACAATCCCTGCAGTATCTGACGATCCCCGCAGTAGCGCATGTTTACTCGCATCAAAATGCTGCCGCTGCTACCACGCTGGTTGCATTTTTTTTTTCTGCCTCAAAACGCATGGACGCATAACAACAGTGCTAAAAACATCCTGTGTGGATGAGGCCTTAAAATGGCACCGCACCAAAACCGCACGGTGCTGAATTAACACGCAGTTTGGCACGGCGTTATCGCACCCGTATTTTCCAGGTGCGTGGGGGTGACGTTAACAATTAAAGGCACCCGTGCTCATCTACAGAGGGCAGCTGGACCCTGTGCGGTATGAGAAAAGCGCGTTTCCTGCACTGAAAATTGGTGTGAGCGGCCCTGTGTGAGGTCGCGTGCCCATATAAGGGCATCGACATCGCCCCCGCCCCTTTGATGGGGGCAGGGAGAAGACCTAGCTTGCAAGCTGATAGGATGACAAAATAAGTTCGGAGGAAGATTACGCCGGAGACAATAAAAGTGTTGCCTGTGCGTTTCCATTTCCAGTGTCACACAACAGGAAGTGTCAGGAAATCCCCTCTTAGGCCATTGATGTCCCCAATGGGAAGTTTCCTCATCGCTTCCTGTTTTGGTGACAACTGTAAAGATTTGGATCCCCATCACTTCCTCTCTAGGGGACACCAGGAGGGTGAATCTCACCAATGAGGATGCAAAGGGTTTCTCACCCATCCCCCTCTCCATCAAACACTGAAATAGACAGATGTGGGAGGAGGGGGTGATCTGAGGGATACAGGTGCAAAGTGGCCCTGCCTCCATATTGCCCATATATGACACCCCAGTGGGTACACTCACCCCGGCCTCTCCCTTAAGATCTCACCCTATGTCTGTGGCTATCTCATGCACTCTCTATGGCACCCGCTGTGTTGCACACCAGTCTAGAGACACGTCTCCTAGGTAACGGGAAGGGGGCGGTGTGCCCAAAGGCGGGCTAACTCGGCGATTGCATTGCTGTGGGCGGAGCTTTAGCGGGCCAACGGCGGAGCTGCACGCTTGCAGCCTACGTGTGGGTGGAGTTAAACCTACAGCCTAGAACTCCAAGGCAGCCTGAAGGGTGGGCAGAGCAACACAAATTCACCTATATGGGGTGACACCGGACCCGCTCCAAGAAAAGGTAAGTTGTAAAGAAAGCCGAGAGAAGTGAAAACTCATGAAAATTGTCATCACTTGTGACAGCTTGTGGTTCGAAAGAAGTTTAAATTACATTTGCTTTTAAAATTTGAGTTTGGAAACAAAGGAAAACCACATACACTTTTAGAAACTTGTTCATTGAAGAAAAAAATTTGCATCCTGCTCCTTTAAATTAAATCACTGTAGTCACAACGAATGTCAAATTTGATCCAACTAAAGATTAGCAAATATAACAAACTTCCTTAACCCCTCGCCTACCGGGCACTTCTACCCCCTTATTTACCAGGCCAATTTTCAGCTTTCAGAGCTGCCGCACTTTCATTGACAATTGCGCGGTCATGCAACATTGTACCCATATGAAATTTTGATCATTTTTTTCCCACAAATAGAGCTTTCTTTTGGTGGTATTTAATCGCCACTGGGCGCTTTACTTTTTGCGCTATAAACAAAAAAATTGCAAAAAATTTGAAAAAAAAAAAAAGTTTCTTTGTTTCTATTATACAATTTTTCAAACAGGTAATTTTTCTCCTTCACTGATGTGCGTTGATGAGGCAGCACTGATGGGCACTGATAGGCAGCACTAAAGGGCACTGATAGGCAGCACTAAAGGGCACTGATAGGCAGTACTAATGAGGTGGCACGGATAGACGGCACTGATAGGCAGTACTAGTGAGGTGGCACTAATATGCAGCACTGATAGGCGGCACTGATAGGTGACACTGATGATGGGTACTGATAGACGGCACTGACTGGCAGGCATCACTGCTGGGCACTAACTGGTGGCACTGACTGGCACAACCGCTGGGCACTGACTGGTGGCATTGACTGGCAGCACAGCTGGGCTGCACTGGTGGGTGGCACTGGTGGGTGGGCACAGGTGGGTGGCACTGGTGGGCACAGGTGGGTGGGCACAGGTGGGTGGCACTGCTGGGCACAGGTAGGTGGCACTTCTGGGCACAGGTGTGTGACACTGCAGAGTGGCACAGGTGGGTGCACTGCTGGGCACAGGTGGGTGATCTGCTGGGCACAGGTGGGCGGAGCTAGTGGGCACACTGCTGGGCACAGGTGGGCGGAACTTGTGGGTGGCACTGCTGGGCACCGATCATCAGGGCACTGATCATCAATGCCCTGATGATCGGTGCCGATCCCTGCTCTGACAACTGCCGGTTCTCGGCAGTACTTTCCTCACGATCTGACAGCGTGAGGAAAGTGCAGCCGAGAACCGGCAATTGAATTTCCCGGTGATCAGCGTGTCATTGGACACGGCTGATCACGTGGTAAAAGGCCGCTGTGATTGGCCTTTTACCAGATCATGTGATCAGCTGTGTCCGTAGGACACAGCGATCACGGAGATCGCCCCCCCTGGGGTGCGCAGGAGAGCGTTCATATGACGTTCATATGACGTCCACCCAGAACTGGCCGGCCGCAGTGCAGCCGTCATTCGGCTATCTGCGGTCGGCAACTAGGTAAAACTAAACATTTAGAACAAAATTCTACTATTCTACTAGCGCCTACCCAGTTTAATCATCATAACATTAGGTCAAGCAGACCACCATTTTTTAAACTAAAGTGCCCCATCTCAGGGGGAGGAGCTTGCTAACAAAGACACCCGCCCCCCCAAGAAACATGCAGATTTATCTGAAGTCAGGACAGTAATGTGTTGAAAACAATATTTCATTTTATGATAAATTCCTTACCGTAGACAATAAACGTAGATTCATCATCTGCAAAAGTTTGGAGGTAAATTGTTAGTCATACAATCAGAACACAACATTCAGTTTTTTTCTATACAATGTTTTCATTTTTTTTTTAAACTCACCATTTTTCAATCCACATTAATTTCTTTTATTAGAAACTTCAATAGCAATGAGTGGTAATGTGATTGATCAGTATAGAGGCCTCTTATCAGGGTGGATAAAAATCAATGATTTTTTTTTAAAAAAAATAAAAAAAATCAGATTTTTTTTATTTAAATCGTATTGTTTTAATTAAAATCGGATTTTTTTTTAAATAAAATGCTTTTTGAGGAAAATATATTACCATCCAAAGGTTATTCCATCATGAAATAAAGATTAGTTTTTTAATTATGTAGAATAAGGCTGTATATGTTTAATTGTTTTGGTAAATAAATTCCATGAATCCATTCACAATGTCATGCTCTTCCAGAGGTTTCTGTAAGATTATTGGGCAGTTTCTCTGCCTACAAGATATTATCACAGATGATCGGTTTACTTTTGCAGTTCTCAAAACTGAATTGGACTCAGCGGAGATCACATGCCTCTTCTTCACAGCAAAAATGTTATAACATGAACAGAGTTC